ACTTCATATTGTGGGGGTGTCTTGCATATTGTAATTTCACGAAACTTAATAGGACCTAATTGTGTCTAGTGGTATTATATGTGTCTTCGTTGGTTATACTAGTTAAAGCAAATCATATAGATTGTTAAATTTGGAGACCAATGTAATAGTTGAATCAAGTGATGTCGAGTTCTTTGAGAATCCACTATCCTTGGGTAATGAAATGAGGGATACCTACAATGAGATCTCTAGCTTGGGTGGAACACAAGATGAAATATTTTCTAAAAATGTTTATGAATATTATGAACCACAAAAAAGCAAAAGAACTCGAATTGAGAAATCTTTAGGCTCGGATGAAATTGACTCTCAATTTATTTCATTTTTCCTAATAGAAGGAAATAAGAACAATGTTGTAAGAACAATTCATTTCGTTCTACAAGTGGAGACTGATCCTAAAACTTATAGAGCAGCTATGGCTTCTCGACTATCTTAAAAAACCTTTCTACGTATTAAAGATGAAATTGATTCAATTATGTCTAATAATAAATGGGAACTTGTTGATTTACCACCCGGATCCAACCTATTGGATGTAAATGGGTATTTATGCGAAAATACAATGTTGATGTTTCTCTTAATACCGTTAAAATCAGATTAGTAGATAAATGGTATCGACAAAATGAATGAATAAATTATTTTGATACATATGCACTGGTAGCAAGAATAACTTCAATTAGCATTTTATTTGTATTAGCTTCGATACATAACTTGCATGTTCATCAAATGGATGTCAAGACGGCATTCTTAAATGGGAATCTCAATGAGGAGATTTTTATGAAACAACCCATAAATGAACATAAGTGCGTAAGTTAGTGAAGTCGTTATACGGTTTAAAACAAGCACCTAAGAAATGGAATGAAAATTTGACTTAGCTATTACTTCATTTGGTTTCATAAATAGTAGTGTAAATAAATGTTTATATTTTAAAGTGTGTGATAAATGTATAATCCTTATTTATTTGTATGTTGGTGACATGTTGATTATGAGTAATCACATGGATGGAATCAAAGAAACGAAGAGGTTTCTATGTTCTACATTCAAGATGAAAGATCTTGGAAAATTGAATACCATATTGGGTATTAAAGTTACTAAAACTAGTGGGGGTTTCTACTTGAGTCAATCACATTATATTGAGAATGTGATTAATAAGTTCAAACATTTGAACATAAAAGAATTTAATACACATTTTGATCCAAGTTTAAAACTTATAAAAAATGATTGAAGAGAAATTGCTCAATTAGAGTATGCAAGTGCTATAGGAAGTCTTATGTATGCAGTTCAATGCACAAGACCATACATAACATTTTCAATTAATAAACTTAGTAGGTTTACTAGTAATCCAAGCAATCAACATTGGAAGGCCATTGGAAGAGTTCTGGCAATTTAAAGAAAACCAAAAACTTAGGTCTACAATATTCTAAATTCCCCGGTTATATTCGAAGGATTTACCGATGCTAGTTGGATTTCTAGCGCGGGTGAAAGTAAATCGACTTCGGGTTAAGTGTTAACTCTTGGAGGAGGTGTTGTTTCTTGGAAATCAAAAAAAAAAAAAATATATACATTGAACTATGGAATCTGAATTTGTAGCGTTATCAGATACTGATAAAGAAGTTGAGTGGCTTAAGGATCTTCTTTATGAGATACCTTTGGGACCAAAGATACATCTTCGATAACTATCATGTGTGATAGTCAAGCCACATTAGGAAAGGCATACAATGATGTAAACAATGAAAAATCTAGACATATGAGTCTAAGACAAAACTACATAAGGAAATTAATCAACAGTGGAATAATTTCTCTTAATAATGTTAAGTCAAATGAAAATCTAGCCGATCACTTAACTAAATCTCTGAATACAGAATTAGTAATATCTACTTCGAATAAGATGGGGTTCAAACTCTTAAAATAAAATATTCACCAATGATGGCAACTCTACTTATCATTACTTAACGAGTAAATTCACGGATTCAAAGAGTAAAAACAAGTTATTCACTATATGAATAGTTTCAACATTATAAAATATGCGATAACCTTATCCTAATAATATAATGTTGGTTGTTACTTAAATGAGAGTTGAGCTTTAAGTTCTTAATGATATTTAGTACCAAAGTACAAGTTTCTCTAAAAGTAACAAAGATACTGGAAGAATTTCATCTAGATGAAATTCGAGGTGGTGCCGCTCAATAAAGATTTATAATTTCTCTCTTAAACATTCGTTGAATAGGATAAGTGCAATGCCATATTAGCGCTAAGCGAGAATGATGGAATTTGAGAATACGTAATACTTGTGTGGGTGTGGGTGTGTGTGTGTGTGTGTGTGTCTTACCGATATTGTCACAAGGAATAATTGGTTCAAAACTTTTGCACTACCTTTAATTTCGACTTTACTTATGTTTTGATTTACACTATGGTTAGATTCAAATCGAAAGATATCGAATCCTTATACATAAGTATTATATATTTTGAATATGAGATTTTATTAAATATTGAACAAGTGGGGGATTGTTTATGCTAGTTGGATTTCTAGCACGGGTGAAAGTAAATCAACTTCGGGTTAAGTGTTAACTCTTGGAGGAGGTGTTGTTTCTTGGAAATCAAAAAAAAAAAAATTCACTGAACTATGGAATCTGAATTTGTAGCGTTATCAGATACTGAGAAAGAAGTTGAGTGGCTTAAGGATCTTCTTTATGAGATACCTTTGGGACCAAAGATACATCTTCGATAACTATCATGTGTGATAGTCAAGCCACATCAGGAAAGGCATACAATGATGTATACAATGAAAAATCTGGACATATGAGTCTAAGACAAAACTACATAAGGAAATTAATCGAAAGTGGAATAATTTCTCTTAATAATGTTAAGTCAATTGAAAATCTAGCCGATCACTTAACTAAATCTCTGAATACAGAATTAGTAATATCTACTTCGAATAAGATGGGGTTCAAACTCTTAAAATAAAATATTCACCAATGATGGCAACTCTACTTATCATTACTTAACAAGTAAATTCACGGATTCAAAGAGTAAAAACAAGTCATTCACTATATGAATAGTTTCAACATTATAAAATATGCGATAACCTTATCCTAATAATATAATGTTGGTTGTTACTTAAATGAGAGTTGAGCTTTAAGTTGTTAATGATATTTAGTACCAAAGTACAAATTTCTCTAAAAGTAACAAAGATACTGGAAGAATTTCATTTAGATAAAATTCGAGGTGGTGCCGCTCAATAAAGATTTATAATTTCTCTCTTAAACATTCGTTGAATAGGATAAGCGCAATGCCATATTAGCGCTAAGCGAGAATGATGGAATTTGAGAATACGTAATACTTGTGTGGGTGTGGGTGTGTGTGTGTGTGTGTGTCTTACCGATATTGTCACAAGGAATAATTGGTTCAAAACTTTTGCACTACCTTTAATTTCGACTTTACTTATGTTTTGATTTACACTATGGTTAGATTCAAATCAAAAGATATCAAATCCTTATACATAAGTATTGTATATTTTGAATATGAGATTTTATTGAATATTGAACAAGTGGGGGATTGTTGAAATTGTTGTTCAAAAGTCAATAAAAAGTGTGTGGAACAAAAAAATGAAATTAAGGGCCAAAACTTTGGCCTATCCGATCGCATAGACTATGGAGGCATGCGATCGCATCTTGGCTTGCAAGGCTTGTACGTCTTGAACAACCTATGCAGCTTGATAGGTTTTTTCTATGTGGCCGCATAGAGTTAAAAATCAGCCGTTGGTTGATTTTTTCAAACTAAAATCTGGTGCTTTTTTTGGATGGAAATCGCCACTCTTCATCATGTTTAGCACCATTTCGTGTAGTATTAATTGAGATATATAAATAGATGTCTAATTATCAATACAAAATAATTGAAAACCAATTTTTGAGCTATCATATTCCATTCCAAAAGAGAAAAAATAAAAAATTATATTCTTTCATATTCAAAATTCTAGTTTTGTGTTCTTGAGTTTGAAAGAATTACACTAGTGTTTAAGTGTTTATTCTTTTTTAAGGTTTGATAAATCCTTCAAACCATTTGCAAATAGTCAATTTAAACATCAAATTCAATCCGAAAGGGGGGTAAATATGAGGACAACGATTACGTGTTTGAACCTTCAACTTTTATTCTAATTTATTATATTATTTTATTTGTTCTCCAACCCCTTACGTGGAAGCATTAATTCTAACCGTGAATCTGTACATTTGCAGAATCTGATTATCCAAAAAGTTAAATGCACGATCCATTTGCTTCAAACACTTCTCCACCGGATAATCACCAAACTTCCCACAAGGTTTACAACCTACAAAGCAAGTCACAAGTGGCCAACTATGATCACCAAAACTCGGATGGTAATTCTTGATCATCTCCTCATACCAATCGACTAGGATTCCACAATAACCGTGCAAATAATACATATTCTCGAGATAAACTTTATCGCCCCACTTATACTTCTGCGTCGCACGTATGTACACCATAGCCGACTGATCATCATCTTTAAAGGTTGGACGATCCTTAAGCTCCTGAGTCAAAAGCTTCCCAGCTTCCTCCGTGACCTTCCCTTTCGGTCTTATTGATGCCCACGTATTAAGAATATCTAAAGACCATTGATAGTTCCTCAAAAAGAAGCTCCAAGTATTCAACCCAATCCAGGTCTTCTGATCATACACCATCTCGCTCCACCCGTGCATCAAAAAATTATGATCCTTATACCTCTCCCACGGCACCTCAAACGCCATATCCATAAACATTGCATCAATATCCATCTACCACTAAAAGTCCACTTCAGAATGTGACAATAATAGCTTCCTAATTAAAGCCAATTTAGCCCAAAACCCGGCCATTTCAGTGTCAAACAAAGCCATATTCACAAAATTCTAAGTATAATATAAATATTTATACTTAGACTTGGGGAACTATTGTGATGTGTAAAAATTACCTCTAACCAAAAATTTTTTTGTACAAATCTGTGTATTACATAAATAATCATGTCTTATTATGCCTGGCCACCGAAACTCCAACGTCGCAATCCACGTGGAAATGAAAATCAACAAAGACCTAAGTGGTCAAACAAAGGCTGAAGTTCATGTGCCTGAGCATGCCTAAATGGCCGAAGCACTCCATTAGGAATCAAAGAAGAAGTCGAATCTCTTCACACAGAAGACTACCAATACGAGGGTCCCTTCGGCTGAAGCCCTCAGTTCATCAGAAGTCCCTGAAGCTAATGCCGTCTCTTATGAGATTTGTAGGTAGTCTTTAGGAATGATTGATGTAACATTTGTAATAAAGGATGTCAGGTGTGTTGCCTAATGTATAGAGCTGCTGATCCATTGTCAATGTATTTAATGTATGATAGACTTGATGATGTGAGACTTCAGTAAAGGAGAAGAGACCACGTGGTTCTGATTCAACGATTACCACATCGGCCAAAACTCTATAAATAAGTGGACTTTGTAAATTGGAAATGACTTTTGGATAATCTTTTAACTATTGATTCTAATATACAAGAAAAACACTCTCAAGAAATCTTTTTGCTTGCTCTATATTTATCAGCTTGATCTTAAATTATTTACACATTATAGGTGATTGTTTGTTAGTGCAATCATTCTAATAACTACAGTCGGTGCCTGAACATTTCCGTCTCGCATCATAAAGCATCTCTCTTGTTCACATGTCCTCCTTCTCTCACCAATTGTTCGGTCAAAATGCATCGAAATTTGCTCAAGTTGGCGTGAGTAGGCTAGACATCTATTGTCCACGTTAACGTTGCGTTTTTCGAGGTCAACAACATTCATCAATTTGTACTATTTGAACAATCCGCAAAGAGAATCATAATGCTAAATTTACCATTTTTCTTCTTATAATCCTCAAGTCGCATACAAAAAAATATGAAAATAAATGTCAACTTATAGAGACAATTTGACTTAATTTTCTTCCAATGACTGTTTGCCTTTGCAATTTGCTTACCAATTTGTTAACAAATCAATATTTGGCATCATCCAAGGAAAAATCGGACTAACATAAAGGAATTCACCACCTTTAATTTTTCTTTTACAAATTGATACCCTAATTTTATTTTGACAAGTTTGAGACAAATTTTCCAACAAAACAGGACTAGTTCTCGATTCTTTTGGTTAAACCGACATGGCTGGACCAATTTTAACAAATTTGGACAAATGATACTATTCAATTACATCAAAAAGTACCAATATCATATGACTTATGTTTTAACCTAAGATGTCAACATTATCACACTACCTTAATATTATTTTTTCTAATTTACTTTTATACTTTGACTCTAATAGAATTTCACTATAATTTATAAATGAGAAAATATTAGCTCCACATGACTTAGCACAAACACGTATTCCACATGTGGATCAAAATGGACGAAACTCAATCCAATCAAGTTCATATCGAACATGAATTGACTCGTCTTAATTAATGTAGATCGTTGTTTAAATTTACGTACGAATCCGTTAATGGGGACTACTTTGAATAAAACAGTGAAAGAGTGGAGATTATTTCGCATCTGCAAAAAGGAAATTCGGTCAATAAAACTCTTTGCAATGAATGGCAAAGAGCATTCCACACCGCCCCCTTCTTCTTCCCCTCCTCTACAGATATTCTTATTCTATTAACAAAAGTATTGGCATTTTGACCTTCTTCCCCCACCATAAACGCCAGCCGAAGAAAAATTCCTCTATAATTAACAAACTCTCTCTTCACCATTCACTTCTCTCTCAATTTTCTCTCCTCGGATTAGTGTACGTGCGCTTTATGTTTGGTTGCACACACTTGCTTACATCTCTACTATCTCCCTCGTTTACCCATTCTTCACTTGATCTTCATACATACACACGAATGTCATGTCTATCTGTGATATAGCATTTTAAAGTTTTGACAGGTGAAAAAGCATTTGGTGTACGTTCTTGCTTACTTCTTGAATTGACAGGTGAATTGGGTTGTGATTTCTTGGCATTTTTTTCTTGTTTAGATCAGTGTATATAATTTTTTTATGCTCCAATTTTGAGTCTTTATAGCTGTGTAATTTGCCTTTGATTGGCTGTTTGGCTTGATAATGGACATTGGTTTGTTAGAGTGGTATTAATAATCTCTGAACCATGACATGAAGAAAGAAAAAAAAATGAAAGTTCTGTTTTTTCCATTGATTTCTTTTTTTTAAAGAATGTGATTAGAAATTAGAGAAAAATTCCGGATTTACGCGTAAGAATATATATTTGAAAATGAGCTGGTACAAAAATGATTTTTTGTGGAGTATTTTTACAAGAAAAGATTGGAACTTGTTTGTTTTCCACTGTATGAATTGCAAATATAGCGTAATACACGAGGGCAAAAACCGATCGGAAAAAAAAAAAGAAGAACCGAGATGACAAAACTGAGTTCCTCACAATTTTTTTTTAGATATGGATAACAAGATTATTGAATTAGCGCTGTGCTTTTCTTTCTTTTTCCAGCTATAATGATGAATGGAGAAACCATAAATGATTCAGGAGGAGAAATCAGGTTTAGTTTTGGCTATCAATGCAGCTGCAAGAACGATGATTCTCGTGACAAATCAAACACTATAGACATCCCATCAGCAATCAAACTCCGAAGATCTAACCGTTCCTTTGCTCGCCTGTCTGGGGCTGCAATAAGTGCCAATGCTACATTAGCCAATACAAATATATGCAATGGGTTGATTGGGGCAGAAATACTGCCGACTTTGGACTCTCCAAATTCATTCCGGAGGATCCCATCTTCACCGACGATCTCAAAGCTCGATTTTCCATCATCGTCTCTCCAGATTAGCTTGTCAAACTTGAGTTGTAGTCCGTCCTCTCCAACTGACACACTGGATTATGATTCCTTTTCACCTAGGTCTACGAGTGCACCTTCACGAAGTGACAGTTTCCTCAATGCAATGGAAGTACAAGTAGCAGGTGGTGCAGCTGGTGAAGATAGAGTTCAAGCTGTTTGTTCTGAAGAGAATGGTTGGCTCTTTTGTGCCATCTATGATGGATTCAATGGTCGAGATGCTGCTGATTTTCTGGCTGGAACATTGTACGAAACAATTGGATTTTACCTTAATTTATTAGAGTGGGAACTCGAGCAGGAGTGCATTAAAGCTTCTGACTGTATTAACTATGATAAATCCCTTAATTGTATTCTAAAAGATGGTAATTGTGTGTATCATACGCCTACCTGTGTGAAAGTGGATAGATCTTGTGGTCTGTTTAAGCAGAGGGTTCTTAACAGCCTTGAACGGGCTCTTAGTAAATCCGAGAATGATTTTCTATACATGGTGGAACAGGAAATGGAGGACCGTCCCGATTTAGTATCTGTCGGATCTTGTGTGGTACTCGTTTTACTCCATGGGAAGGACTTGTATGTGCTGAATGTTGGTGATAGTCGAGCTGTATTGGCAAAATATGATGAAGTCATTGATATGAATGGAATAGAAGGGCTGCAAGCTGTCCAACTCACTGATAGTCATACTGTTGACAATGACAAAGAGAGAAAACAACTTCTACACGATCATCCAGACGACCCTTATACAGTTGTTGCTGGAAAAGTCAAAGGAAAACTGAAGGTTACCCGGGCTCTTGGAGTTGGTTACTTGAAAAAGGTCAAAACTATAGTTTCATGTATGTTTAGGATTATGTGGAGCCTAATTATAATATTGAACTATTCTTACTCTCGACCGCCTCTCGACCCCTAATTATACTATTATAGCGGCATATTGGGCATTCATCTTTTTGCATTAGGTGCCCTATCTTCCTATACTATATAAAGGAATATAAGAAGGTTATCTATCTCTGTGAGAGAAAAAGAACAGGGAGGTGGAGATCTCCATTGTAAACCTTTCTTTTTAATCTTAGGGGAAACCTGCAGCGAGGAGTAGATATAGCTATCATGATGAGGATGAACTGCTATAAATATGTTTATTTGCTTTGCGCTTTTTCTAAGTTTCGCTTGCCTTTTATTGCTCTCTGGATTAGGACTAAGGCCTATCAGTAGTTTTATGAAGTTTCATACTATTCTATAAATAAAGCAACTGCAATTCTTGATTCTACAAAATTACGAGGTCCTTTTTCAAGAAATACTTATTTTGTCCGATAAATTATAACCTTTCGCCTTTTTCTCCACAGAAAAACTTGAACGATGCTTTGATGGGTATCCTTGGAGTCCATAATCTCACGAGTCCTCCATATGTATCTGTGCAACCATCACTCTATGTACATGAAATTTCAGATTCTGATTACTTTGTTGTACTTGGGAGTGATGGTTTGTTCGACTTCTTTAGCAATGATGAAGTTGTGAAACTTGTGCATTCTTATATTCTGAGAAACCCTTCTGGCGATCCAGCCAAGTTTCTAGTCGAGCAGCTTGTAGTAAGAGCAGCAGATTCTGCAGGTATTTGTGATTTTCTTTCAGTTATTCGGAGAAATGTCTTTATTTATCATTTTATTTTTTCCACTTCCATAACTCTTTACTTATAGTAACATGCATTATCTTTATTTTCGCCAATTTACTAGGGATATATATGTTTTTGCGAGTGAATTATATTGATTAGTACTTCTATTTTTCCAGGATTCAGCATGGAACAGCTGATGAGTGTTCCAGCTGGTCGGAGACGGAAATATCATGACGATGTAACAGTGATAGTGATAGTTCTTGGCACGAACAAGCGCACCTCAAAGGCGTCAACATGTTTATGAATCTCCGAGGCCTGCAAGTTTCGTTTGCTGTCTGTTGGCTTGAAAATCTATAGAAATAGGTATCATTACATAATTGGATCACATCACTAGACCTTATTATTTTCATAAACGGCTTTGCTACTTGTACATCCTGGTGTACACCTCCTTCACATGGGGGTGGGACCCGCTTAAATAAAAAAATATTTTATACAATGGGTCCCACCTCCCATGTGAGGGAGGTGTAGTTCCTTATGTACAAAAATTGATATACAAGTAGAACTTTTCTTTCATAAAACATGCTCTCTATGTATCTATAAACACTGGTGAGCCTTTATATGTAATGCAAAATTTAGTTATGTCAAGGAATTTCTTTTGATGCAAATTGGTATGAAGTCTCTCTTTTTCTTTTTTTTTCTTTTCTTTTTCAAAGAGTTGAAGCTTGAAAACGTCGAACCAAATCTTCTAAAAGTGTAAGCTATTAGAGAGACAAATTTATTAACTTAAATTTTGTTTTCATTAGTCTCCTCGTGTGTAAATCTTATGTTTTTGTTAATCAAACGGCAGGGAACGTGTGCCCAATTTTCATAAAATGTGATGATTAGATTTGAGCTCAAAACCTAAGGAGGCGGCATGATAAAACTATATATGGTATAAACAAGAAAGCCTAGATAACTATTAAAAATGTCATTATAGGAATATTTTCCCATGTGTACAATCATTTAAAACATGTCATTACCGTTATTACTAATATGCCGGCCCTGTTTGATTTGACAATTTTTCCATGAAACTTGGAAATGAAATTCTATCTTTCACCAAAAGTCATGTTTGAATGGGAAAATTTTCTTGACAATTCATTTTCCATCTCTTGCCTCACACGGTTCCAATTCATGGTTTTGAGGAAAACCAAATCCCACCAAATTTCACTCTTGCAATCAAACGGAGCATAAATGGCATCCATTATTCCAAGCTTGCTAAGACGATACAAGTTTTACCATAGCTTGTGCATGGGTAGCTGGTAGATTAGAGTAGCAAAAGCTTTGCCATGAGTCTTCCTCCTTTGTTCTTAATTCTCTGCAAGTCTTCATTTTGTAAGCGGAAATCGCGCACAAATTGTCATTGTGAGGTTTTGAGTAAGCTTGTTTTATAATGCAAAGGTTAGCCAATTCGATCCAAGTGCTAGGTGAAATTAGGAAGTTCAATAACCAAAATTATGCCACATGACAAAAATATATATACATGAAGCTATATTTTCAAGTGCAAGGCTTGTGGAATATAGTCGATGATAGTGACATGACATCATCAGAGGATGTGATGGCTCTAAAATTATAGAAAACTATTAAAGTATACAACTGATAGTTGTCTTTATATCCTCACCGTTCTAAGGTGAATAATATTAAATTGAAAACTACTGTTATCTTTATATCCTCTCCGTTCTAAGGCGAATATATATTCACTAGCCTAAGGCGGTGGAATGGGGGAGCTTTACTAATTCTAAAAATTACAGTGGAAAATGGAACCATTCGAGGTTCTTCTTGACAGGTCAATACTTCAAAGGAAAAATCTATAGAATAAGATATAGCAAAAGAAATTGGACTGCTCTACCTTCTTTTAGACTTTGCTGCATACGGGGAAAATCTAGAAATGAGAAGAAATAATTTGGAGCCAAAGTCGGTTGTCACTTCTTTAATTTTGTTAGTATAAATGTTAAATTGTTAAATTGGCTCTATAATTTCGATCCTAAATGTATGGTGCTAAATTGTATTTGACGAGAAATATGTAAAATAAAGTAAGAACAAAATATTGGATGAACAGAATTGATAGGCCAGAAATCGAAAGAGAAAAGTTTTCATTTTGAACAAATCGCGTTTTCTATTCTGGAGCTTTTTGGCTAACAGTCTTTCAAATGATTTTTACTACTTATGAATTCATAAATTTTACCTCCTTTTAACCAAACATTAAAAAAAAAAAAAAAAAATTGCTATAGCACGAAATGTCCTCTAAATTCCTCAAGCATGCTATACAAACAGGCTCAATAACATGTTAAACAATTGGAGAAACGCGTGTCGACACATGATTGAATAGTTCGAAAAAAACAAAAACAAACACAACATCCAATCATTGTCTGCCACACCACCATGTCACATCTATCTCTACCCTTAAGCCTGTCCAAGAAGCATTATCCCTAAACTCATTCAGTAGACGGAGTACTCCAGAACTACCAATCACCACTCACAAAAGTCAAGTACGGATTCCCTACATTTTGTAAATACAGTACCATAATACACATTTATCCTAGTCCAACCAGGACTCCTTTTTTTAATTATTATTTTCTTTTGCTGCACAATATTAACTTCATAGATGATTATTATATGTGTTTGATGGTAAAATTAAACTGTACTTTGCAAAATACACGAAAGTAAACGATTAAAGAGCAGGATAAAGGATTGTGGCATTGTCCGGCCAACATATTATATTTGCCTTAACGGGGTAACCTCTTTCGACTCAGTATTTCTTGTTCTTTAAGCCGATGCTGGAACCTTGCAAGACGAGCCTGAAGACTGACCAGACTTGCTGCTTTTCGCGAGAGCACAAAACTCAACTGAGTTACGTAATTGTCAATATGGCTGCCTGGTTGGTCCACTTCTGCTAATAGTTTCATTTCCTGGCATTCAAAAGCTAAACAAGTTAATTTCTGTACTGTATAATTTTTCTTCTTCGACTTTATAATATGTTCGTGATTTATTTTCTCAAGCCATTCAGTGAGTTGTGATGTATTAAACAGACATGACCCTCCTCATTACAGAAAAATCAGAAAATGAAGCTACACAGAGAATTCCATCTACTCCCAGTCCCCAAAATAAAGAATAAAATTTAACCTATGCAAACTTACTTCACGAACAATCTCCATTGTATCTTCTATTTCTTTTCTATGGGCTGAAATCAGGGCTTCTTCTTCCTATACAGACAATAATAATGAAATTGATAATCAACAGGCATTTAACATACTTCCGGTAAAACAAACAACTCTAATCATTTGAGAAGCAACACATTCAAAACTAACCTCGAGTATCTCATTGATACTCCCATCATGAGGTGATTGTTCATACTTTTTGGGCGTATTGTGCTGCTTATAACTAGTGTTTGAAGTATCAGAATTGTCACCATCTTTTTTTGGCTCATTTCCTGGCTTTTCAGCCCTTTCATTCCTGTAAGCTTTTCGCAGAGGTGGAGAAGTTTTCTGCACCTTCCCCTCTATATCAGCTGAAGTTTGTGAGTATGCTGATGGGTACAATTTTTGACTAGTGGAACCCCTGAAAGTATTTTTCACATCAGGCCCTTCCCTGTCCAAACCACCATCAGTAATCCCATTTTCCTTGCGGTCATTATAGGTAAAAGTTGAAGAAACACTAGAGTGTTGTTTGTCATCATCAGTAGATATAGCAGAAGACGGATTTTCCTTCTCTACAGCCCTTCTACTTGTATCCACTGCTTTAGATTCTTGGAGTTGCTCCTGAACATCCTCTGTATCAGCAGAAACAGGCAATGATGGTGCTGTTGAAGATTCTTTAATGCTAGGTGGCACTGAACTAGTCTGATCCTTCTTCAGGTTTCCACTTTTCGAAAGACTTTTAACCCTGTTATTTAATAGTCATTTATCAGCATAACCCATAAACGGTGTATGTGGTAATCAACTGAAAAGAAAACAATTTTACCTGTCAGCATATCTCAGAGTATTCAGAGTATGCTCACATGAACCAGCATTTGGAGAAATGCAAGAGATCATAACAGTCCTTGAGTTGCCAACAAAGGAGTCACGAAGCACCTCAGTGAGTTTGCTCCCACGGAATGGAATATGAATCTGGTCATTGTCAAGAGCACGAATACACTCCTTGAGAGCCAAAAGACTCTTGTTGATTTCTGCTCCTTCAATCCTGTAAACCAACAAAAAATGGTATCTCAAGATGCAAACAAGATTCTAAGAATGAGAAGATAGCTTGGTGTCAACTGGTCATGAACTAAAGGGTGCTAGGAACAGAAAAAATCACTCAACCAAATAGCAGAATACTCTTTCTAGACGAACAGTGAAAATCGATGGGAAAGTAAGTACAAGAAAAACATAACAGCCTAGCCACCACAAAGGGTCAAAAAAGACACAAGGCATTGCGAGTGTCAGCAGGAATTACTACCGTGTCTGTCGGTCATTATCCGTTGTGTCAGCACCTCTCTCACTACCAGCAAGATCAATGAAAGAAATCTTTCCAACAACCCTCCCACTCTTGTAATCATTTCCGTCATTATTTCGCTTAGATTCTTTCACCTCACTGTGCTTCTTCACAGCCAGTTGCAATATCGCATGCGATCTTGATGACTCCTCATTAGCACCGGTAGAACCTGTACTTCTTGCTGCATTTCCTCTCTCAATGTATTCTTTCACAATCGGCACATCCGAGACTTCAAACTCTTGCAGTCCAACAATGCAAACTTGTTGACGGCCATCTTCTCTCATACAAAGTTTCCTATTTATAATAAATAGAAATAATTACCACAGAAACAACCTTTGAAAACATCTGGCAAGCGTTTTGTTTGATAGTTGGTCTACATAATGGATGGGTGATGCCTTTGGTCAAAAAATTAAGATTATTTAGGAGGCACCAGCATGGAAAGTCTTTTGGAGACCCAAGTATTTGAGAAGCATTTATGAATTAAGATGTGTAATTCTGCCAAGGACTAAAATAATCAAGAATTTCAACAAGTGAAAGGAAACAAAGTCCAAAATGAATAGAATATTAACTTCCTTTCACCGAGAAGATCAAACAATTTTCCTCCATATATCTCAAAAAAGCTAAGCCACAGCTTGAATCTTTGATTACGATAAATAGGCTGATGCAACAGTCTAACAATGTCTTCCGCAGCTCTAAGAGGTAATGGTTGCATAGTGTATGTCTTGCCACTCCCTGGAAAGAAGGGAAGGGAGAAGAATGAAAAGTGGACTCAGTCATCCTAATAAAAATCCAGAAGTTATGACAAGACTGACAGAAAGTTAAGTGCAGAAACTTGGTTTCCCTCATATACTATGATCACCCTACATCAAATCATTTAGTATTGATCAGAATGCACTCCATAAAAAAATAAAAAATAAAAATTTCTCAACCTAGATGAAACTACAGCAAAGACTACATTTTTTTTTTCATTATTTTCAGCCAATACAAGGATTACAATATAAGATTCCCACAAATTATATTAATTTTAAAGGGTAGCCTTATAACTGAAGGCCACTGACTATTCATACACCAAATGATTTTAAAGCCTTATATCGTTGGGTTCCCCTTACAAAGACGACCAGTCAAAAGTTTTACTCCATGCTCACTTGACTACCTTAAAATAGAAAATGTATAAGATGCAAAATCATAAATTTTTAAAAGTTTCATCTGCCTAAAGTGGAAAGATAACTTGAGTTATAAAATAATTTTTCCATAAATTAACAGAACACAGAGACAGTGTAGCAGACCCCAAATAATGGTCACAAAACTTAATAGTGTCTCGGTTCAACATCTAAGAAGATTGCAACGGGGTAAAATGATAAATTAGCCATAGGCAGAAAAAGAAGATAGTGTATCTCCGTGAAATGACAGGTTGACCTTATAACATGCACAAATCAGTGAAAAAGATTTTCCCCCAACCAAAAAGAAAGAAAAAGTAGAGGAGGAAGAATAAGATCAATAAGAATCCCTCGTAGACAAAATGGCAAAACAGATAACACGGTAGTAAATGGGCATTATCCAAGAACAGAACCATAAAGATGCATATTATGTTCTATAAATCGTAGTTGTATCCAACATCGTAATGCATTGCAGATGACATAATCCAGGAAAGAGTTAGCTTTCTGCAAAATTATAAACAAAAATGAAGAGCGAAAAGGACTTTGCACACCTGTCTGACCATATGCGAAACAAGTTGCTTTGGTGCGTTGAAAAATGGTGGGGATAATTGGCTCAACGGTAGCACGGTACACCTGATTGAGCAAGACATAAGAAGGAAAAAAACTTAATGACAACAATTGACAGAGGCAATCAATCATTGCAATAAAATCCCTTGTATTCCTACAACTTTTAAACAAAAATAAAGTTTGAAATTACAATTTTAAAAGGAAAATTAAGGCCTTTTACGGATATCAATAATTATGATTATCACTGTAATGTGTAATAGATGTTAAACAAAAATGTTCTCGCTTAAGTTTATTATCAATTAAGATATTACCTCATCATTTGTCACGTGCTCATCTAGAACAGCATCAAAACAGAACTCGTGTTTCTCCACATAGGCAGTTAGGTCCACCTTCAATATTGATACTCAAAATGTAATGTCCTCATAATATAAAGGATATCCACTCGTATCCAAAACTATTCAAAGTACATCATGACATGAAAAAATTTGTGTATAGTACGATACTAAAAAATCATCAAGACCTTTAATTTGGTTTCGTGGACAGTCAAATAGGCATCATCATAAACAGTCACGATGTCATCCTCTTTACGAGAAATTTCCTTTTTATTCAAAGGCCTTTTGCGCACCTGAAACCATAATATAAAAAAATATATATATATTTTTATGGCAGTTGTAATACATCCATCACACAACACAACACCAACACCAACACCAAAGTCAGGTAATTCAGCAAGAAAGAGAGTGGGAGAGTTAACCAACATACAACAACTTTAATTTTGGCAACATTATTTTCTCTCTCTTTTTCATTTGCAGGTAACCCAGTGGGAGCATCTGCATCTGTTTGCTCCTTCTGCAGCCCACTGGCTGTCACGTTAAAGTCACTTTCAAATGAGTTGGTCACCGCAGGCATGAAAGGTGACGGCTCAAATGGTTCTGAGATGACATGCTGAAAAAATAAACAAATGAAACCATTCATTATTGAGTGGAATGCCTTGCTATTTGTAGCAAGTAAAATAAAATTTCTCCAAGACCAAAATATGTGCGACACACATCAGATAAAAGCTCTGTGTCATCCATAGAATGAAGATCCAAAAGCCCAGCTCCGAAATCCCCCCTAAAGTCAGGAGAATAAAAGCCCTCTGATGCAGAAAATGCAGCTGAACCTTGGGCAGTTGGAGTATAAGGCTCAGAACCAGTTTCAACATTAAAGTTGAGATTCCTCATTAATTTGAAAAGTCTTTGTTTCTCCTCTGCAGACTGTGGTCCATAACCCTGCAGAGACCATCAATACTCTCCCCATTAGACACGACTCATACGCCAATCTATGTATAAGGACCAACTAAATCAAATTCAATCATCAAAAAGACAAGAAAATTCTGACAATCTTAGATACCATGCATAAAATACCAAAAATCTAGATGCGAAGCAAAATCAATGTATCCTTTACCAGGTTAATGTTTGGGCATTGTGATTGTACAAAGCTTTTATCACTGAAATGAATCCTTATTAACTATTCTAAAATATGTAGTCCTCAAGAATTCATTTCTTCATAAAATAAGTCCTCCATTCTCTTACAACGTTTTGACATCACACCCACCCATACAGATATGGAGAGCCATTTCACATCAAACCCACCCACCTCAACATACACGAGAGTGAGAGTAAAGCTATATTGGAAATTTGGAACCGAAAATAGTTTCGGTTACTGCAAGTTAAATTTTTTACTTGAAAATTTCACATTTCCTCGATATAAGTGCTAATACAATTTTAGCAAAAATGCAGTCCGTCCAATTGAAAAAGATGAAAAAACAAACAAGAGTAGAAGGCATCGTAGCAATAAAACGGAAAAGAAGTACCTGCATCAGGAGTAGGCGATGATCAACTGCATTGGATGACATTGGAGAGGCTAGATGCTGCAAACCAGCAGACTGGAGCCACCGAGCCATCACGGCATCGCCTGCATCTCCGCTGGAAACCCCGGGTCCTGGGTTCTCGTACAGAGAAGTGGCTGCCGCCGCATTGCTCTGTTGCATCTGGCCACCCATGTGGCGCATTGATCGCTTTTGTGGAGCCAATTTTCAAGATCTAATTTTCGACATTCCAAATCGAAACCAAAAAAGCAACAAAACAACCAAAAAATGTCTAGCTCCAAATAGTAATCAAAATAATTGAATATCATGAATTAACATACAGGAAGTTAAAGGTACGACTCACAAGAAGGGAAAACTGGAATTCCAAATCAGAAGAACGCATCAACGTGAATCATTCACGCAACTACAATCCAATTCGATCGAATCAATTGATTCCAAATTCTGAAATGCCAGATAGTTAGCATAAATAAAAATTCCAAAAAATACAATGCATTTAAACAATAATTATAAAAAAATATCTTTCCAACATACATACATAATTGTACACAGAAATTTATATATACCTGCATGAACGAAATTGATCTGAAAGTTCAAAAAACAAACTCTAATTCGTAAACAAAGGAATTACGAAAGATTACTTAAAAGATTTGGAATGGAGCGTTTGATGATGATTATTACGTATGTTTCTTTTGCTTTACTTTTGTGACAGACGGGGAAATATATCTCTCTATTTATATCTGTTGTATCTTCGATTTCTACAGATTTTGTTGGGAGAGATTTTTAAGGGAAAATTTCAATTTCATCCTCAACCTTTGCAAATTGTAACAAATCTATCCTCAATCTTATTTTTTAGCATAATTCATACCAACATTTCAATTATATAGCAAAACTCGTCATTTCTTTATCTATTAAAATAACATATTTTCTATTCTACAAACATTTCAATTATATAGCAAAACTCTTTACAATATTAGTGCGAAAGAATTAGTAGATGACCACATCAACATGGAGAAAACTTCCTTTGTCCTGTAATCCCTCTCCCTCCTTCCCGAAGTGACGGTGATTATAAGTCATTCATATCCTTTAGTGCATCTTCAAACTCTTTTCTTAATTCTACATCAATCTAGTAATAATCAAAGAGATCCAAGTAGCGAAATCGTAGCCAATATAAAATGCTCAATGCTTAGGCGGCATTACATTTGGAGTGAAATGGAAATAGTGACAAGTGAAAAAACAAATGCATACGTGGGGGAGCCGACCAAAACTGAATTAGCCAAACGCCCATGTCTTCTCTTCACTCTACGACAGTATACTTCTGAAATTCCGAATTCATCCTTGAAGAAGAGTCGCTGAAATTTGATCCAGCAGTAGACATGGCAGCACAGACTCCAAGAAGTACTCCAAGTGGGAGCTGACATTTTGCATGTACAAGTTTCAGGGTTATTAACTCTTCTCACTTTGGATTCCTCAAGTCATTCGAGTGGGAATGGGTGTGTCGGTGATAAAAAGACATGATCAAGAGGGACATTTGTATTCGATATGAGTCGATGAATTTCTCCAACTTATACAAGAAGACATGAAATGAGTCGGGATCGGATGCGAACCTACAAGTTTTACATGTATGTGTAGGCTTACGAGTGGGGTAGGGGAGAGGCGACATGGTATAACGTAACATTAGTACGCGTACGTGTTTGATTTAATGTGTTATCTATGACTATTTATTTGTGGTTTCTTCTATAAGGTCGTGCAAAATTGAATGCCAGGTTTCTTGAAATTTATACTGCATACATTGTCAAGTCTTGAGTATACTTTGTGTCACTCGGGTGTGACAAACTAATGTCAGAGTTGATTGAACAATTGAATCTGTGCCATTACAGAAAACCATGGGCTAAGAATAGCAAATTGCTTAGTAGAATAATTTTCTCTTGTTCGGGATACGGAGCGCCAATTCATAGCAGATCAATGCCGACCGATTCATAATGCACGGACATGATCTATGATTTTGGTCCCTATCAAGTACCAAAAAGATATTATATGCACGTGAATCCAGATCTAATCTACGTACGTACATGATTGAAATCGTTAAAGTTGGATGTTCCAAATTGAACAAGACATGAAGTTTTGTCGAAGACGGTGTTGTTGACGTCTAATTGGACCAACCTCAAAGCAAATAATAAAGGATGGTATCGAATCTTGGATCAATTCGGGACTTTGGGTTCATTCATAGGACGATGTCTTCTTTTCTATGAACAATCCACAACCGAATGATGAACTTTTCAGTGATTTTATAATCGAACGCTTCTATCTTTCTTGTCTAGATCTACATATGGGAAGAATTTATGACAACTTTTTAGGGTTATTGTGGAACCCACAAAGAAAATGAAGCTTGTGAATCTCAAATGGAGCCATTGCAACTTTCGGGTGCAGCCTAACTTCTCATGCCTTAAAGTTCACTTCTTTTGAATAAAAGTATTGCTTTAACTTAAAGCAATAAAGCCAAGGAGATTAGCAAATTATTAAAAGTGAAAATTTGAATTAAAGTTCCATTATTACTTAAATAGGTTAGCTCCTCCCCAAGATTTCTTGATTAAGGGCATATTCTGGCTGAGTTTATATTATCTTTTGTGTGTATATATATATATATATATATATATAAATCCTNTGAATTGAAGGATCTAAATTTTTTTGCTCCAATTTTTTTGCCGTCGCATAACATTCAATTAATTTGCAAGTATTGTCTCTTACAATCTGTGTCCAAATATTTTGTCGAACTTTTATATTTATTATTTATCATGTTTTTCAAAAACATGCAAGGAGAAAATAAATATTTTTACTCCCCAATAAATTTTTCGGTTGCCATTGATATAAGTACTAATTAATAGAAAATTGAAGATAAAAATACGATTAAATAAACAAGGTTGAAGACACAACATGTATATAATTACCATGTACAAACTAATATTTTATAATCATATTTCCTACTATAAAAAAGCCAGTTTTTGGTTACTGTAGATGCAACAGTAACCCAATGAGATATTACTGTTCATTTGCCAAATTTTTGCACCTCTAGTCCTTCAATTTTATAAATTACATCTATTTCCATATTTTTTTTATCAGTATGTTGTCCTTTTATTTTGTATTTTGAAGAATTTGATTTTATCTTGAAAATTGGTTCCAACCGCAAGATGTAGAACTAAGAATTGAAGAATATCTGTATTGGATGTTTGATCTATATAATTCATTTTTTACCGTTTCAAAAAAATAATAATAAGAATTGAAGAATATTTTCTATGTGTTGATTATGTATACTCAATAACAAAAACAAAAACAATGGTAGCCACTCCACGTTAAGAAGGCATTATCAAAGAAAACTTTTAGGATATAGCTTTTTTTTTTTATTATTACAATTTTGTTTTGTCTCCGATCTCATATGAAGAACAGGCTTATAATTGAAACTTCTAAATGTAATTTTGAACATCCAGTATTTTTCTTGGAGCTTTTTTGTTTCTATTAAGGTAATGTGGATTCAGTTTAATCGGTGAATATGAAATAATGAGAAGTGTAAAGATTTGTGAAGCTACTTTTGTTTATTCGGGTTGCAGATTGCAAGATATTTCAAGAAATTGCAATGTCTTCGTGCTAAGGACGGAGATTATAAATAAAATGGTTGTTTTAAAGATACTCATCTATTCCATTAAATGCTCATCTACTACATAAAAATAATATTTGGAATTGAAAAATAAAATTGAAGAGAAAAAGATTGTGTTTTTTATAATGATGAATGAAGAATTATTTTGGGTCTATACACATATTATTATTATTACAAACACAACATTTTAACTTTACTTATACACATTTCACTCATTTAATTTCACTCACTCAAGAAGGAGAAACTTCATCATCTTCACTAACTTCACTACCTTCATTGCACTAAATCTAAAAATATGAGTTTTCTTCCAGAGAAATCTATCACACATGCGAGAGACACGATGTTTTCGTGGGCGGTCAGAGACTAGACCTGGTCTCCGCACGTGCACGAGGACACGTGCTTCGTGTCTCCGCAGAGACACGAGGTCTCCAAGGGAAGACAGGAGCGCAAGAGTGCCTCCGCACCGACCCACCCCGGTAAATACCCTCTATTAAACACACCTGTTTTAAATTCGAATTTATTTTTCTATTAAATAGTATTTTTTTAATAAACAAATTAGTGATTTTCTGCTACAATCACTCAATTTTCAAATTATCAGTATCTTAAAAATTTTGTAGAGCTTATTAGCACAGATCAACAAGCCTCTTTATTGTGCAGTAATTTTCATGAATTTATATATGCAGTGATTTATAGAGCAGAGGAAGAACAACAATTTAATAGTTAATTAGTTCATGAATTCATAATGAAACTTGTAGATTGTGGTAAAAACAATGAAATTTGGGTGAAATTAGATAACCATTTGGCCTGCTTTAGTCTGCAAGAGTTTTGTCTTATTACCGGATTACCTTGCCACGAGATATCTGTTAATCTTGACTTCAACAATCATCGACTTAGAATCAATATTTTAATGGTATGAGGAGAATTAGTATGGGAATGCTTTCTGAAGCATTTCATCTTTGTCAACATCAAGAAGATAAATTTAAACTCGGGTTGGTTATATTGGTAGAGTGTGCTTTGAAACATATCGGAAGATATATTGATTACAAAACTCTAGGCATGGTCGAGCAGCTTAATAAATTCATTACATATCCATGGGGCCGTACAGCATATTTTGTCTTATTAAACTCACTGCGAGAATCCCAAGTGGAAAAAGTGTACAAATTGCAACAAAATCAGCAAAAATAAATGTAAATATTCATTACATAGATATCCACTTGCATTATATAATTTAGTTTACTGGTATCTAATATTTAAATTCAATTATGTTTCAGTATTGGATATACGAAACTTTTCCATAGATTGAACAAAAATTTGGACGTTGTAAATACAAAACATTATAGAGTCCAAGATGCATAGATGGAAGCCAAATAAATTTATAATGGAGAAAAATGTTATGCAATTTTTGGCTAGTGAAGAGGTAGTTTAATTATTTAATTATATATCTTTATTACATGCATCTAATTATATTTCTTTGTCCTTCTCCAAACAAAAGTCACAACAAATTATTTAAATAATTTCATTACAGATTCAAGTGATTATAGTCTTAGAGCCTACTGAGGAAGAGTTGCAAACATTGTGGTATACAATTCTTTCATTGCCAGGTAATACTTGACATAATCTACTAGATGGCATTGTGAGTGGAGAAATCAACAATGTAGTCCCAAGTAGCACTGACAACATGCTTGATCCTGTGACATATAGTTCAGTTGGAGCTGGCCCAAGTTTTGCTTCTA